CAAGCGTGTAGTTTACAGCTTTTCCCAAACTGATCATACCCAGATCAAGAAACAGTATTACCAGCGACCCCGAAGCCCAGTCATGTCTCTTGTCACTTTCTGGTCACCCCCTGTCCCCCAGGGGTCCACTCTCCTGACAGTTATGTTAGTTTCGCTTATTCTGCGTGTCATCTAAGTGGGAGCACCAGGAGGCACTGGAGGCTTTGAAGGGGAGGAGTGACATCAAAGAAGCATTAGTTTAAAAGGGTTCACCTGTGCACATCTTCAGGGTGGATTGAGAGGAGACTAGGTCAGTGGAGCCCTGCTCCTGGGGTTCTGCCTTCTTCAGAATCTTCAGGGCCCCAGCAAGGAGGAAGGAGAGTCCCGGTATTGTCAGCATGAGGCGCTGTGATTTGGACCAACATGTTAGTAGTTGATGATGGAGCATGGACTCTTTTGAAAGAAAAATGGATAGAACTTGGTAATCTAGTTGTGTGTGTGAGATGATGGGGAGGTAAAAAAAATGCTCCACTTTTCAGTTTGATTGAATGCCAGCACCAGCAATAACCTTTGTGACCTTGCACCAAGTCATTTGACCACTTTAAACTTCAGCTTTCTCTTCTGTGTTATGAGGGAGATTAGACTAAGTTCCTGTCAATGTAAAGTGCTAAGCATCATGAAATACAGAGGAGTTATGCTGAAAAGCTTGCAGATAGGAAAACTTATGAAGAGCTAAAATTTTATACAGATGCCAACTTTCCCTTTCATCCATCCATCCACCCACCCGCCACCTGTCCACTCACTCACCCACTTCATTCATTAAGTGGAAACCCATGAAGGCATTAGAAGAGTTTTATTAAGACAGAACTACAATTTTAAATTTATGTTCTGTCCACTTTACCCCACATCAGATTAATAACATTGTCAGCAATATCCGTCCAGGAATTTAATTTTAGTTTATTTAAATTATTGTTTCGTTTATTTTAGTTAATGTAGTATTAAATTAATGTAGTATTAAACACATCATTTTAGTTATCCTCATTCTTTCCCCCTCTTCCCTTCTCTCTCTTATTTCTTCCTCTCTCCCACTCACTGTCATATTCTTGGGAGGAAACCATAAAGTTAATCGGCCACAGGGATTCCCAGTAGATAGGATATGACAGCCCCACTTAGTTGATCACAGCCTGATGAACGGCCAGTAGTGTCTCTTCCTTGGGTGGGCAGGTGTTTATTTATTTATTTGTTTTTTTAAAGATTGGTCCTGAGCTAACTTCTGTTGCCAATCTTATTTTTTTTTTCCTTTCTTCTTCTCTCCAAAGCTCCGCAGTACATAGTCGTATATTCTAGTTGTAGGTCCTTCAAGATGTGGCACGTGGGACGCTGCCTCAGCGTAGCATGATGAGCAGTACCATGTCCACGCCCAGGATCCGAACTGGCGAAACCCTGGGCCTCTGAAGCGGAGCCTGTGAACTTAACCACTTGGCCACGGGGCCAGCCTGGGCAGGTGTTTTTTATTTTTTTTTATTTTTTTTATTAATGTTATGATAGATTACAACCTTGTGAGATTTCAGTTGTACATTTTTGTTAGTCATGTTGTGGGTACACCACTTCCCCCTTTGTGCCCTCCCCCTACCCCCCCTTTTCCCTGGTAAGCACCGATCAGATCTCCTTATCAATATACTAACTTCCACCTATGAGTGGAGTCATATAGAGTTCGTCTTTCTCTGACTGGCTTATTTCGCTTAACATAATACCCTCGAGGTCCATCCACGTTGCTGTGAATGGGCCAATTTTGTCTTTTTTTATGGCTGAGTAGTATTCCATTGTGTATATATACCACATCTTCTTTATCCAATCATCAGTTTCTGGGCATGTAGGTTGGTTCCACGTCTTGGCTATTGTAAATAATGCTGTGATGAACATAGGGGTGCAAGGGACTCTTGGGATTTCTGATTTCAGGTTCTTAGGATAGATACCCAGTAATGGGATGGCTGGGTCATAGGGTATTTCTATTTTTAACTTTTTGAGAAATCTCCATACTGTTTTCCATAGTGGCTGTACCAGTTTGCATTCCCTGGGCAGGTGTTTTTATCCAACACCAGGGAAAGAAGAGCGGGTGCTGCTGTCAGCTGCCACTACTAATGAGGGTTTCTAGTGTCTGCTGGAATGTTGGTGGGATGCACAGAGAAGTGTGGCAGTGGCTGTCTCCAACTCTGGCACGCTTTCGACATGCCCTCTTTGGGAATACCGGGGAAAAGATGGTGTCAGGGTGGAGGGCCTGGGCTTTCCAAGGGATGAAGTTCAAGGAAGAGGTATAGCTTTAGTCCCTTTGGAACTCCTTCTCTCCCTTTGTCATGGTTCCTTAGAGGGCATGCATAAGAATTGCCATTGGTCAGTGTGATTCCTGGACAGGCCTTTTATGTTTTTACAAAGGAAGCCATTTCTGTTCTCTTAAGCATAGATTACAGCCAGAGTGCTGACCACATGGGTGCTCCATGGACATGTGGATGGATGAGTTCTCTGCTTTCAAACCAGCTCTTGCACTGACTCTGCTGGTCATCATGCACAGGGCATGGCCAGCTGTTTGCATGGTTTCTATTTGTGAAAGCTATTTTCTGCTTCCCTTTGCTTTGTTCATGCACTTTAGTGGCCCTTAATTTTTGTTTTTCAGATCCCAATTCATTCCTGTCTCTTGCCAGTTTTGTGATTCAGATTACAGCAGAGATGATTGGGGTCATTATAATTCTTTTGAGACCTTAGCACTCTGTTCCTACCAGAACAAACAGCGATGAAGACTAATGGCTCATTTCTTTAGTTATGGGTTAAAACAAATTTACCATGCTTCTTCCAGATAAGTTAGTTATAACCTGATTTTCACCAAGTTTTCCTCAGCCAGAGGTGCTCGTTAGCTGACTGGGCTCTCCTGAGGCTATTGAGTTAGACTCTCCAGGGTGGGGCCTGGCATCTCTATTTTGAAAAGTCCTTGATGACTTGACATACTCCTGGTAAAGGTCCCTTCCAGCTCTAAAATCCTGTTACTTAATTCTATAATTCATTTTTATTTTTTTATCAAAGTAACCCATACATGCAGCCTAAAAATCAAATAGTACTAAAAAGTGGATTAAGAAAAAGCTGTCTCACATCCTGCCCTTCCCAGAGGCGGTCCTCTGGTTGATTCTTTCCATGTTTCTATATATAGTTTTTTCCCCAGTAGTTACAATTTGCTGGTTACTTTTAATCGCTAAATTTTCTGTGAACTTGAGTTTATTTTATTTTTTACATACATTCCAGTAGGTCTGTCAGATGCTATTGATAATTTTTCTGGTGCTCAAATAATCTATTAGTTTTTTTTTTTTAAACACCCCTTTAGCTCCTTTTGGACTCCTTGGTCTCTAGATCTGGTACATGGGTATCTTGTGGACTCTCTCTCTCCCTCTCCCTCTCTGTCCCTTTCTCTTTCTGTCTGTCTGTGTCTCTCCCACGTTTCCTGGATCCTTTGTTGCCTTCTTTTGTGGTTTATTTCCCGAGAATAGAAACATGAGGCACAGATTTTGTGAATGTTTGCATGTCTGAAAAGACCTCTGTTTTACCCTGAAACCTGAATACCAGGTTAGCAGTACTTTCACAGACGATTTGAAGGCCTTGCTCTATTTTCTCCAGTGTTCAGTGCTGTTGGGAAGCCCTGAGCTTTTCTCATTCGTGATCCTTTGTGATCTGATTTTTCTCTAAGGACTTTTCTCTGTCTTTCCTTTTTAGCAATTTGATTATGATGTGTCTGGATGTAGATTTCCTTGGGTTAATCCTGTTTATGGTTCACTGAGCTTCTTGAATCTATAAGTTTTCGTCTCTTGCCAAATTTGAGGAGTTATCAGGCATTATGTCTTCACCTATTTTTTGAGTTCTGTGCTTACTTTTCTCATTCTGAGACACCGATGACACAAACCTTAGACCTTTTGTTATTGTCCCCAGATTCCTTGAGGCTCTTTTCTTGGGAGCCTGCCATTTCTACAAAGAGGAATCTTACGTCCTCTGCCAAGGTGGGATTGTACAGTGGGTGGCCAGGGAGAAGGACGAGGCTAACCGATCCACTTAACTGTGCGGAGGACAGTGTGTGAGGGGGCTCTGGGGGAGTGGGGCGGGATTGGTGTCAGTGCATGGGACAAGGGGATTGAGACACAAGGCAGGAAAGGTGCCGCTGAGCACACCGACTGGCTCGGCGTTGAGTGGTGTTTCCACAGGCACACCAACGTGGACAGTGAATCTTAATTTAATAAAAATGTGATGTACTCCTTTGGGAGACTGGGGAAATGGTGAGTGGGATGGGGGTGGAAGAGAGGACGATCCTGTTCTCTGTAGAAGGATCGTTGCTGATATCTACAATGAACACAAAAAGTAGAAATATAAGCATATTTTTAGAAAAATGGTGGTAAATATCAGAAGCAACAGCTGATGGAGTTGAAAGTGGTTGCTTCTGAGAAGTGGGGCTTGGGATGGGCATGGGGAGAGCAGGGGACTTCTGCTCTTTTGTTTAAAGCCTTGCGATGCTATCTAACTTTTTTTTTTTCTTTGAGGAAGATTAGCCCTGAGCTAACATCTGCCAATCCTCCTCTTTTTGCTGAGGAAGACTGGCCCTGAGCTAACATCCATGCCCATCTTCCTCTGCTTTATATGTGGGACGCCTGCCACAGCATGACTTTTGCCAAGCGGTGCCATGTCCACACCTGGGATCCGAACCGGCAAACCCCGGGCAGCCAAGAAGCGGAACGTGTGAACTTAACCGCTGCGCCACCAGGCTGGCCCCCTATCTTAAACTAAGTATATGTGCATAACTTTGAGTTTAAGAAGCCCGTGGGAAGGCTCTGGTTAAGAGGAAGAGGTTGATAAACCTCAGGCCCCGTTTTGCCATCTTTAGTCGCAGGTGACTTGGAAGTGAATTATGTAAGAGGGAACTCTGAAAGAGACGCTTAGCAGAGGAGGAAATGCACCTATAAAGAACTTTCTCCTTTTCCTTGCTTCCTCAGATCCTCTGTCAATGGGTCCTCAGAAAGCTCTGGAAACCATTGGTGCAAATTTACAGAAGCAGTACGAGAACTGGCAGCCAAGGGTAAGCATTCTTTATTTGCTTTTCTCTTTCTTTCTTACGGGGAAACTTCAATTCCTTGGTTTTAAACAGTCTTTGAATCCAAGTCAGTACAGATGATCCCCTCATCGCATTCGGTGACTGGACACTCCGCCCCGCGTGCCTGCGGGTCCCCTCTGCTCTGACGATTCGCTCTGCTGCTTCTTAATGACAGCACAGGCACTAGTGTGAGTCAGGAATTGGCTGGTCTCTTATTTGTTTTGCCTAAGTTTTTCTTTAGAAAATAAAAAGCATTTTTTGCATGTTACTCTTAAATCATTCTGTGCATTAAATCCTGTGCATTTTTTTGCACAGGAAATGTATTTGCAGTAACTTTTCTACACTCTCAACTAGTTAGAGCTATTTTTCCCACCTTCAATTTTCAAACAGTTGAGAAAAAAAGCACTCAACATTCAAAAGATGACACCTATTTATGCTTTGTCTTTGATTCAAAAGGTAAAGTTCTTTTTCGGGAGCCAGTTACCAATTACTGTGTCTTTTGTTGCTTATATCTTACAGTTTTGTTTTTCTTTTAAAGAAAAGTGGCATGGAATATGATAATTGTGTCAAATTCCCTTTAAGATCTTAGTTATTTGTAAACCACCCAGAGACCTATTTCCTTTAGCCTTTCTCATTAACCAGTTTGAGGATTTAATAATCTTAGTAGACAGAAATTTGGGGTGTTTGTGGAGGTGTCTTTCCGTTCAGCTTTGTGTGACAGGCTGGTTCTGGAATTATCTCAAGGACGTGATGAGGAAGGCTCGTCTGCATGGCTCCTGTGAGTCTTTGCTCTTCATTTTTGGGTGTAAGCCCAATAGAAGCAAATGTCTTGGAGACCCCGGTGAACACTGCCTGCTTGGGATTTTCATTTGTGGATCATTTGTCCACAGGATCTAGAATTTAGGAATTCTTTGTACATTATTTACATTCTAAGACAAGAGAATACCAGAAATGGTTTGATCCTGCCTCTAACGGTCCCCTGTAATGGTAATTTCTGCTGTGGTTCATTGTGCTGGGGTGACTAACAGTTATGAAACATCTCTGTGTCTCAGGGTGGAGCTTTGTCCTTTTCGTTTCTAACCTGTCAAGTTGATAATAATGGGCTCTTATTCCTTAGAAGGCAGTTTCTTAGTGGCGATTTTGATCTATGCCTAAAGGCTTTGCTTTTTCCTCCAGCAAATTTGTTACCTCTTGATAGTTTATATAAAAATTCAGTAGCCTTTTTCCTGAGAATGCGATGCGTCTGGGGCTTGGATGAGGACTGGAGAGAGGTTTTGGTGGTGTATTCCTTTACAAACAGTTGAGGTGCCTGGTTTTAGCAGTAGGAAGTAGCTTCTTTGAGGACTTTGAGGATATTCCAAGATCTCAGCAAGGCTAGACAGGCACTTAAGGGTGAGTGAGTGGCGCAGACAGCCCTTGCAGTCCACGTGGGACGACGCACACAAGTAACATCGGAAGACATGACGTCACTGGCGTCTAGAAGGTTGAGAACCAGCGTATTTAAATTTAAAAGAATGCCTTTCTGACTTTGCTGCTTCTCACCATCTCCTGGGTTTGACTTAATGCTTTTGCTTTTTGCTGGATACTTTTGTTTGAAAGAGATTATAACCAGATAAATTCACATCTGCCAATGTGTTCCTCATAGAATGTGTCTCTGCTGTTTTAATTACTTCCTTCCTTTTAAAGAATTATTACATGAAAAGATACAATCTTTCAGAACACTTGTCTAATATCTCAGAATATTGTATGCTTATTCCGTTTGGTATGATTTACCATTTTTTTTGGAGTGCTAAGAGTTGATGTACTGCTAGCTTTATTATTAGTTTAGCTTGGGTACATCTCAGCTAGTTTGTGCTTGCTGACAGTGAATCTGTCTAAGAGCAGATGTCTCCTGTGGCATCTGGAAGAGGCGTTACCATGTAAGGCAGGCACGTTTGTGTATAGGGAAATAACTGCAGATCCCAAAATGACGGTGTAGTATCACGTATAGGATTGAGAGTGAGAGTGGGAGGGCTAACCTCAGGTGGCGAGCATCCATATAAAGGAGTGCAGTCCTCTTGGTAGACGGTTAGTCTGAGAAAATTTGTTAAAGTCAATGAGATTTCAAGAATGGATCTGCAAAATAATTTTTTGAAGGAGAGAGAGTTCAAAGGGCTGCCGAGGTTCTTTGTTTCCAGATTCCACGATGCTTAGGGAGAGGTGTCGTGTACCAGGGCGGGTGGGATTCCATCTGGGTTGGTTTGTAAAATGGAATTGGAATAAAGTACAGCTGCAACCTAGAAAGAAGCAGTTCATGCACACAGAGTGGGGTCTTTTGCCTGCATTCAGGAAGCAGAACCACAACAATGAATACTTAATATTTTCTTTTTTGAATGCCAAGACCATTGCATTCATTTTTAAGTATGATAAAAAATGTTTACAATTTTACTGGTACAAACCATTAGTGGGACTTGTCTATTTCAGAAACCAGCCTAAGGTAGTGGTTGTAGCAGGATACCTGCCTGCCGCTGATGTCAGTTGTGGAGCTATGCCTTGTGCACTGGGTAGTAATAGTCCACGCCCTGTTGCAAGTGGCTCACTCCTCTGCTCTCCTAACTTCATGTGGGTTACAGGAGAGGGAGGGAGGCCTGGCATCCCATAGCCTGGTTCTCAGTGTGCGGCAGGCCTCATGCTGCCTCATAGAGTTTGCACAAAACATGAGGCAATTACCAAGCTCAGATGCTTGTGTGCAAGGTGCCTGGTTCCTAACTGTAAATCAGGGTCCTTTGAAACATTACAAAGCTAAACACACACCACTTTATTGCATTCTATAGGGCTCTCGAGGTTTCCACAGTAATAAAGAGATGTTGATGTGCATCTGCAATAAAACAACAGGAACATTATTAAATTTCTAGACCTTTGATGTAGATGCCCATAGATCTGGTTTTCTCTTTCTCTGTACCCTTTATTGCAAGACTCACAAAGGTTGGGCAACTGGAAATGAGGTTATTTTCATTAACGTTTGTGGAAATCCTCGCCTGCCTCCACGGTGCTGTGGGTGGGAACAAGCTAGCGCATCCCGCTATATGATCCCATCCAGGAAGTACAGAAGATCAACCACTGAAAACCTGGCCACGTTGTAGGAGCAGGGCCTTGACCTGATCTCCTTCCGGTGCTGAAATGCTTCTGCTCTTGGCTCCTTACTTTTCCAGCTTCAACCATTCAAGATTAAACATTTTGATAAAGGTGATTTGAGGTTAACAAAGAATGTAGAGAAACCATGACGGTGATATTTTTTCTGAAGTGGCCGGACTTGGGCCCAGATTTCCCTGCCAGGCCAGTTGAGCCCTTTTCTAAATAATTTATCAGTTTGCCACTGGTGAAATATTTGTTCTGATTAAATTTAAGACTCTGCCTTATTACCTTGTAGGTACATAAATTTGTGTTCTGCAGGAGATTGAAGGAAAAACGCCAACCGTTGTTTCAGCTGAAAATTCTGCAGTTAAATAAACCTCACTCGTTTCATCATAAGTCTCCACTGAAAGTTTTATTGGGAGATGGGAGTAGGAGATTATAAAGCTGAGAGTATACAGTGAAGAATTTATCTTTTTAAGACTTTTTCTAACAAATTGGGGGTTCTGGCAGTTTAGTACAAGGTGTAATTTAGGAGCTGGAGCCGATGGAAGACAACAGAGGGAAGGTCTTGCCTCTCTGTTCCTCCCCAAAGAGTGCTCCAGACCGCAGCGGAGGCCGCAGCTCCTTCCCTGGGTTGAGACGCAGTTCTCCTGGGTGGCTTGAAAACAAATTTATGTGGGAATATTTATAACTTACGAAGGTAGGTGAAGGCATTTAGTGAGACTTCTACTCTTGGCAGGCACCCGAAGTGACCCCGACTGAATCCTGTTTGCCCAGTGTGCCTGTCTAGGAAAGGAGATGGACGGTGCCCTTTAGTGCGCTGTTATCACACGCCGTGCTGTGAGAGCTCATTCTCTCCTAACCAGTCTGTGAGTGGCCAAGGCGACACGTCCTGTGCAGTAGCCGTGGGATCTGCAGGGAGTCCAGATGCTGGCAGTTCCCAGTTAATCCACAGGGGCCACTTCTAGATTATCCACACACAGTGACATTTTGTGGATTACAGTTAGCAGATTCTAAATTTCAGCCTTCCCCTCAGTTCATCTTGCCTCTCAGGTCTGTCACAGTGGATGTATGGTCAAGGGATGAATCGGGTGACCTGCTTAACGAGCTGCCGAACATTCAGGATTGACCATTGAACTGGCGGGTCTTAGGGAAGGGGCTCTGTCAGCCCTGATTGCTGGGTCGGGCTTTGGAGCCCACTGCACTGCTAGGTGACTTGCCACCGCTGGCCTGCGGGTATCCTTCCTGGGGCTGGTCACAGGGCTTGTGACGCACAGCTGTGGTGCCTACCTCTGCTTTGGGGGTGGGAATAGGGGCAAAGCAGCAGGTATTAATACTGACCGCTCTCCTTACCTACGCCTCTCAATGTTTTGGAATGAATTTTATACAAGACCCGTGAGTAAGTGGATTCTACCCTTTCTTGGGGTTCTCACAGTCAGATGTGGAGAATGAAGGAAGAAACCAAGTTTGCTGTAGGACTATGTTCCCCCCCTAGCAGGTGATCCAGAGAGATTTGTGCAATAGGCCAATGTGGGTTGTTTCTTCTAGTGACTCTTGCTTGGGGCAGTCACATTATGACCTTAGTCTCAAATCGACATTGCAGTTCAGCCAGTAAAAATGTCCCTATAAGGGAGATTGGTATCGCCACCCGAGTGCCACCTTGGTGCCACTGTCATACCATCGTCCTTGTCCTTATTCTACTCTTTTCCCAGGCCAGCCAGATCTCCTTCTTGCCTTCACCAGCTGAGTTTCCTTTTCTGTGTGTCCTAAGGTTGGGCTTCATCCACCTTGCTTGTGTTTTTGTGACAAACCGCAAATGAGAACTCATAGCCAAGGCAGAACTGCGGATTGATAGCTCCCAGTTTACATAA